CTATGCTTTACTATATCACTAACTTTCCTTAATGTGTTCAAACGAACATCAAAACCAGCCTTCTCTGCATATCTTTTATAAAAGTTAACTCCCTCATGCACATATTAGAAACTCAATTCCCTAGTAGGTTTAAATTCATTAGGAACATCTGGTTTGATATCATGCGGAACCTCTGACATATAAAACTCTGATATACAACTTGAACTAGTCCTACTGTTTGAATTTGAATCATCACCTATATAATCAAATATAGAAATTTTTTTAATCATATATTATTAGAAAAGAAACAAATGAATATACATAAATCAATACAATATAAAATCACATGTGATTAATAATAAAATTCCTTGTATAATCATATGTGATTAAAATAAAATTGAAGATATATAAACTAAAAATATGCAAATATTTATTCAAGTATAAAAAAATGGATAATAATATATGATAGAACTATATTAAACATAATTATTAAAAAAAATAATTAATAATCACATAAGATTAACAAAACAGATTATACTAATTATTAATCACATGTGATTGTACATGTGATTATATAAGGAATTCATTATTAATCACATGTGATTGTATAAGAAGATCATTATCAATCACATGTGATTGTACATTACATACATTGATATATATTCAATTCTAAAAAACATTAATAATTACAAAAATAGCTATATAATAATAACATATTACTATTTAAAATTTTTTACCTGAAAAATTAATGTTTTGGATTTGATGACTTGAATGCTCAAAATCTTCATTCATGTAATTTGTGATTTGATGACTTGAATGTTCAACATCTTCATTAACGTCTTCAATACTAATTTCATTTTCATTTATAGATAAATTAACATTATCGATTGTAAAAGACACTATGAAACAATATAACCTGTCGTTAACAACATAAATAATTATTATTACAACATATATTAATAATATATTATTTAAAAAACTATAACATAAAATGTAAATCTTCATAAGATTTATGATTATAACATGTATCAATAAGTAATTTTAAAACTATGTTAATCATACATGATTTAAATAATTGAATTCTAGTTTATAAAAGATACATGACAGTAATGTCATAGTGTCACTAGAAGAACATGATTGTTAGCTCAATTAGGGGACCTTTTGGAGTCCAAAACTGAATCTTTTGCATTGATCCATATCTAACAAGAACACAAAAGAAGATGGTATACATGTTGAAGAAAGAAGAAACTACTAAAAAAGATTATGTGTGTAGTTATAAAGATAAGAATGACCACCTGCAACATTGATAAACTCTACAAATATCTACTTTACCAGCCAAACGTTCACAAATCCTTTCTGATGTATTATGTGTAGATAATATATTTTGTGGTATGAAACTATCAATTACTGAAGCTGTGAAAGCGAACTCGTAATCAATAGTTGACCATCGTCATGTGGAGATGGAGACGACTAATCGATTTAGGGCACAAAGAGAAAGAAGAAGAAATATTGTTAATATGAAGCTTTTAAGTCTCCTACCTCAGCCACCTGAGGTTAATGGTGACCACCATGGTATACGATTAAAACAGGACCTCAAGCGACTCTGCAACTTGGACATTTTTCATGAACCACCCGACAATATTTTCCAATATGACTCGATCGTCGGCGACGAAGAAAGCGAGGACGTGAGTGAAGAACATATCTACGGTTGTGTGGGTCAAGTTAGGTGGGTAATTTGTATTTGAATACACGCTTGTTTTTTGAACTCGCTAAAAAATGTTCTCAAATGTTCTCACGGGAAAAATGTTCTCATTGGAACATAACTCTAAGTATTTTTTTATGCATTTTAATGATTTTTAGTGTTTTTTGTTTTCCATAGAACCTATGGACCTATATATATATATATATATATATATATATATATATATATATATATATATATATATATATATATAAAAGTTCAATTATAAAAAACAAAAAAAGTTGAGAATAAAAGAACCCTTTTAGCCAATCATTTATTTTTATCGCAAAATGCTTCAGCGTACTAGGCTTACGGATGATGAGTAATATTCATATATATAAATATTGTGTATTCATATATGAAAACACCAACTCCTTCCACCACCAACTAGTAGAGATGCACACAAAAACTGGTTTCACTATTCAAAACCAGATCCAATCCAAAACCGAATCGGGTCAAAACCGGTTTTGACCAAACCGGATCGGGTCAAAACCGATTTTGACCAAACCCGATCGTATCGGATTCAAAACTGGATTTTCAATCGGATCCTAATCCTACATTTCAAATCGGATTTGCTACCGAATTGTATACAGATTTGCTAAAAACTGGATCCAAATTCGGCCCAAAATCCGCTTAAAACCCACTAAAATCGGTTTAAACCGAATTAGAATTGGATTCAGATTTTGACCGGATTCGGATCGGATTCTTGATGACGTAAGCGAAACCGTATAGGATTCGGATTCGGATCCGAATCGTATTCGGGTTTTGTGCATCTCTACCAACCAGCACCACTGCCGCCGCCATTAACCACCACTGTCACCACCACCACCACCTCCACAACCGACCCCCACCAACAACGTCCACCTCCATCACCACCTATCATCGTCATATTTGTATATGAATAGTCACTTCCGTTATATTTATTCATATATGAATATACGTATTTATATATGCATATACGCATTCATATATGAATATGATCTATTCCGTCAGTACGGTACGCTGGAGCGTTTAAACGATAGATTCAAAATGAGTAACCCATATTCATTCTCTCGTTCTCAATCTTTTTTTTTTCTTCAATTGAACCAACCATGGTTACAAAAAAGTTTAAATTTTTTTAGTACAACTTATAATTAGTAATAAATTATTTTCAATAATATATATATATATATATATATATATATATATATATATATATATATATATATATATTTATATATATATTAAATATATGAAAGTTAGGAATACTAAACTTCCTAAGTGTTTAGCAAGATTGGTCCCTAAGTTTTTGTATGTTTGCTCCTTTTTTTTGTCACTTTTGGTCCGTTGGTTTTAAAAAACTACTTACAACATTTACCATTCACCTTTATGCTTTTGCTCACAAACAACCCTTTTACTTTCGTTTGAATTTTTCATAACCCTCGCATTTTATTACATATTATTAATATTTAGTGTTTTGGCAAAAATGATCCCTCATTATTATTATTATTATTATTATTATTATTATTATTATTATTATTATTATTATTATTATTATTATTATTATTATTATGATTATTATTATTATTACACAAAACTACACAATTGGTCCTTGCGGTTTACCAGATTTAACACATTGAGGACAACGATAGAAATGCGAAATCACTCTTTTACTCCTAATCTGTTTTTTTTTTAATTAATTTATATTTCTCTTTTTGGTTTTAAATTAATACTTTATTTATTAGAAAATACTCACCCAATACCATAAAGTCACCCACCATGTGCCATCACCACCACCATCGCCAATATTACACAAATGGTCCATATGGTTTACCCGTCGTCATAAATTCAGTACCTACTACCTTAAAAGACCAAATTACCCTCACATTAACAGTCAAAAAACAACGGTTTTATATTTTCCGGATTGGTTTTCCGGCCGCTGCCATACATGACAATAAAGTTCAATTTGTGAGACCATTTCTTTATTTTTCTCATTTATTGCATGAAATAATAATGTAGTTTTCTTTACTTAAAATACCCACCCAATACCATAAAACCACTCACCAGCTGCCATCACCACCACCACCACCACCGCCAAATTACATAAATGGTCCATATGGTTACCCATCGTCACAAATTCAGTCCCTACTACCTTAAAAGACCAAATTACCCTCACATTAATGGATAAAGAACAACGATCTATATTTTCCGGATTGGTTATCCGGCCGCTGCCATACATGGCAATAAATTTCAAATTGTGAGACCATTTCTTTATTTTCTTCATTTATTGCAAGAAATAATGATTAAGATTTATGTATTTATGTAATTAGATGATATTGTTTATCTTCCTATACTATATTATCTCAATGCAATTCAACATGCTACTTTACTTTACAAAGCAATATCTTCCGACCCCGGCAACACCGGAGATTTTTTCTAGTTATTAATTAAACATGACTGTGTAGGATTTTCAATATAGAAATACAATTATTTACCGACAATCATATCTGACATGTATTAAAGACGAATTTAAATTTCTAGTAAAAGCCAGCACTACTAGAAAAACAGCCTTTTACGACGCTCATTCCACGTCGTAAAGGGCTCAGACGACGTGCAAATGCGCGTCAAGGAAGGCCCTATCATAAAGAGAGACGACGCGCATTTACGATGCTCATTTACGACGCGCAATTACGACGCGCGTTTACGACACGCAATGCGTATCAAGAAAGGTCCTGTCATAAAGGAAGACGACACACATTTGCGTGTCATAACCTTACGACGCGCGTGTTAATGACACGCAATGCGTATCAAGAATGCCCTTGTCAAGAAAGGCCATGTCATAAATGAAGATGACACACATTTTTGCGTATCGTAAATTTAAATGTTTAAAAAAAATAAATTTATATATTTATTAATATTTAAATTAAATTTTCACTTAATTTCTCATAATATAAATAAAATACCATATACAAAAAATACAATCCATTGCATAATATAAAATAAAATTTCATACTCAAAAAATAAAATAAATTGCACAAATTATAATGTCATACAAAGAATCATTCAAATGTTAAACAAAAATAATACATTGCTAACATGGGTTATACATTCCTATAAAACTAACAAATAATCATACAACTCTGTTTCTTACCAGAAACATTTCATGTTATTTGTTTCTACCAACGCCTTGTGTGTGTACCACCTACTTAATGTGTACTAGAAAGGAATGCCAAACATGATTACAAGTCTCCTTTAATCTTGATTACTCACCTGCTTAAGTAGAATGTTGTTGTTGAGAAGGTTACCTAGCAACATAGAAAAACACAACACCTCTTCCAACAATAATGTCAATAATAAGTGTAGCCATTTGAGACATGAGGACCATAGGGTAAACTCCTAATTCCATCAGTTCTCTGGCTCTTTTCACAGTTTCAGTTGTGTTTGATGACATTGCTAACTCCAGAAGTTCCAATAAATTCTCATCAGAGACAACTCCTACCTACAATCAACTCCAAAAGAATTAGTAAAAAGTTTGAATAAAAAGTTACATGGATCAAGAAACCAGTAGATTAGATACTTACAAGTTCATTTCCAGCCTCTAAAGCGTCTGCATCTTTTTCATTACTTTGATTTACATCATCACCATGTGCATTTTCTTCCATCACTATATCACCATGTGTTGTATTAAAGGGGCTTGTCAGTTGATAACCCCCAAGTTTTACAAACTCGTTTATCTGCATAAATTTAATAAAAAATTGCAGGAATTCTCAAAAAAATCTCATTACAATGTGCAATTAAATTTAAAAAAAAAAGGAAAAAAAAGACTTACCCATGTGATTGCAGTTCAACTGGTGAATTCATCAGGGGAAGATGCTCTTTGTACAAGTATTTCTGCCATGTGACCGTAATCTACAGACTTCATCAGTAACACTCCTAAAGTCAGAAATTTACAAATAAATGACAAAAATTTGCTACTAAAAAATATGAGGTTTAGTAAATATATTACATATACAAAAGTTAGATAGAGATACCTCAAATATCAAGTCCTTTCTGGTGATCATGCCAATCACACGAGAAGCACGTGGAACTACAAATATATGCATCAATCCTAATTGACGGAATAGATTAGGACTTTTAGTCCTTAGAATACCAGCTACATCAGCAACTTTCACCACACGAGTGAAGTAACAAACCTATCAAGTGTACAATCAATCATTACATGCAAATATCAAACACAAACGTAATGTTTTGTATCAGTAAAGGCTACAGGGATGCGTACTTTCATTTTATGGTTTCATCCAAGATAGTTGATGCACAACAAATAATGTTTTCCATTGGTAGTTCCCAACTGCTCAATATGTTTCCAACCATATAATGAATGATGCGAGAATATAAATAAATGGACAAATTGTAGGAGATGTACTTTATGTCCATCCAATTACAACATTGTACTTTCTTTTGTTTCATATCAAGACATCATACTTTGAAAATTACAAACCAACTACTGTTCCAGACAGTATGAAAGCAAATGACCAATTTGCCCTTTCTCCCAACAAATACCCATCAAGCTTTTCCATAATTCTTTTCCAAAATGTGATTTTTTTTTGTGTATCTAATAAAAACATCTAAATGGAACTTAACAAATCTATTCTGGAACAAGAAAAAGCAGCTCACACATCGATTTCTTTTTAACTGATTAATTTTAGATAAACAAGACACTGACAATAAAAGAGAGATAATCAAAAGGAATCCATTAAAACAACAAAAACAAAATCATATATAACTCTATGTAACCGATATGATTAACAATTCATAATAATAATAATAAGATAGACAACATGAGAAGAAAAGAAACAAAAGCTTAGCAATAGACTAGACCTGAGCAGTGCCTTCAGTAAACTTAGGATCCTCACACCTGTAACTTCCATCAGGTCCAATTCCAAACCCTCTTGGATCTGCAAACACATTTTCCAGCAGTTGGCTTCTTGAAGGAGCACGGCTTTCATCTACAAACTCCACAGCTTCCTCAACCACCTCATCTATCTTCTTCTTTATCGCCTTTAAATCTGCTTCACTTGCCAATTTGTTTTCAGTCAGGTATTTCTTCAATCCTGTTATTGGATCCCTTATTGCATAATGAGCCTTCTCAGCTGCAATTCACAATACAAATATACAATGAAGAAAGCATTCAGACGTATTCAATGAGGTTGCCACCTGAAACAAACAAATTTCATTAGCCCTAATTTTAACAATTCCAAGGAATAACTTAGAAGGGGCTCATAATCATACGTCATCTACTTGAACAACTTTATTATTATGGGGTGAAGTGCCAAATATCTGAATTAGGGCTACACCATCTAAAGTGTAGGTTTCATCATTCAATTCTTTGTCTGCAATGGAGTTCTTGTATCCAGAGCTCAATCCAGCCTAATAACACAACATTTTCCATCTGAATCTAATATCACAGCAAGATATTTGAAAAAACTAAAAATGTGATGCAAGTACCTACCTTTAACACAACCATAGGCTGAAAGATGGCGACAAATTGTGGAGGCTCTTTCCCTTGAAATACACGACCCTGAACTGGTCTTCTCTTGAGTGAATTGAACATTGTAGTAGCCAATCAAGCAGCAATGTTACCTCGATGCTATCTTTGCCAATCCAACAACACAAATAGTAATCTTCTTTCTTTTCATTAGAATGGTAAGTGTAAAGAACAATGTAGCAATCTCCACTGTAGAGTTTACCAATATCTTCTTTGGGTACTGTGGTTTTAGCATTGCCATTAATCCTCCACACCTCAATTTTCCCATTTTCTTCAAGCAAAGGTGGGACTTCTGCAGTTGCAGTAGAACTTTTAGCCAACCCTTTGACCCCAACTCCTTGTTGCTTTAACAAAGCTAGTAATATACAAAAATAACACTGAAAACTTCATCCCATTTGTTTTCATTCTCTTTCCATAAAGGATACACCAGTAAAAAAGCAGCAGGCGTTGACCTGGCCATCAAACCCATGATTTGACTGCATCCTAGTAGCTGATATCCCTTCCACATATCCCGGATATAATACCTGTCTTCTTGTTTTAACTCCAATATGTTGTTCAAGATATTCCTGCATAGATACATGGGGTAAGGTTCAAACTGTATGTAGGATTGGATAATGGATAATATAAGCATCATCATCATATGATATGGTATAAAAGAATGAAACCTAAGCTGTGTGTAATGAGTGTCCAGATCAACATCTACCCTTTGCTCTGGAGTTTTGGCCATCAAGAAACGCATTGGAATGGATAAGGTTTGACGATCAAACTGCATCAACCATTTTCACTATAGTAGATGATGATATCAGTAATCAGTCAAATATATATTATATTATTTTATTAAAAACAAAAAGAAAAAAAGGTGATCTAGGAAGGAGTGGCATGAATCAATATTTTATCTGGTTATGTTATGCTATTGCCACCACCTCTGCTGATTGGTCATGATGTAAACAATAAAAAAAATACATACATACATCTTTCATACATATTTTTTAGTCTTTTTCCATATTGTTATGCTTAATCTGTATAGGAACATATAGGAAAAACCCTTTCTATTAATTAGATACAACTTTGCTGAAAGTAGATCACATAGGTGTATGGATTCAGAATATTCCAATGGCATAATTGATTTTGTCATTGTAAAACTGTACAACTGGTGTTTTGTTTTACCTATACTTGTTTTTGTCATTGTAAAACTGTACAGCTGGTCAGTGATGACCCAATTGCCAAAAGCTAATAAAAATTAATGAATAAATTTTATGCTTTCTAAATGAATAGATTAAGTGCCTCATCACCAGGCCTCAAGAAAGCAAACAGGGCGCATGTAATGGCATGAGTGCCTGAGAAGAACTGGACTAAAGTTTGTTAAGTAAATTGAGAACCTAATAAAAATGGTGGGAAGAACAAATGAATGATTAAAAATGGAAAACCTGTTAACAAAAAATTGTTGATTCAACACCAAAAATTTCTACAAAATCTTGGTCTAGGGCTTCTCTTCCACCTGCTTCCTGTCTACAAAATGTTGCTCTAGAAAAAAATTAGCTGTGAAAACAAAAGGATTTAGCAAGATAGGGTTCTGGTAGAAGAATGAAAACATAGGGAAAAAAATAAACCGAAACACACCTTAATAAGACATAGAGCTTGTAAATTAGAGCAATAGAAGAAGTAATCCTAAGGTCGTCGGACCTGATGTTGTCGGCAAGGGGAGAGGAGGTGAGATCTTGTAGTGATAGTACCTGAAGGTTTCTAGTTCGAATGATTTGGGCTCTGTGGAACCTTGATGCGAGGCCAATCATAAAGCATCCTAGTGCTTCGTCGCAGTGGAAGGTGCATTATGAGTGTCGATTCGCTTAGGGGGCGAAGCAGCAGTAGTGGTGAAAGTTAAAACCCTAAGTCGTCGGTTAATAGAGAACAACATTACATGCTTCCTTTTGCAGAAATTTACACCAATTTCCCCTTTCGTCTCTCAATCTAGAAACCCTAATCCCTCCGCCACAATGAACACCATTACAGTTTCCACGGCGCCTTGAAAGCCCTAACTTGAATCTCTTGATCAGAAGCTACTGAACTCCTCAACCTGCACACACACGCTGACCATGCTAGATCTACCACCGGAAGCTTTTTGAAGATCGTACATGGGATATATTTACAAATTAAAGCCGAAAAATTAGAATTCATCGGAGAGATGGTGGTATATGACATCGCCGGTAATTGACGATGCCATGGAAGAGGATGAGGGGTGTAGGATCAGGGTTTGTTGTTGTTGGATTATTTGAAGAAGCGTATCTAGAAGGAAGCAGGTCAAGGAATAGTGCAAGAAAACTGTTGGCGAGTATTCTCAAGAACAGCAGAGAGATGAAGAAGGTGAAATTACAGCAACGATGAAGTAGATGAATGGAAATCAGAAGCCCTTTTTCTTGATTGAGACGATGAAGTGGAGAGATGGAGATGAAATCGTAACCTTCGATCTTTGATTGAGAAGTTGCACAACAGTGTGAGGAGAATGAAAGATGCGTGAAAATTCTTAGGGCAGGGAGGGTAGCAGGCTTTTCTAATTTTTTGGGTTTTCTTTTCCCGCTTGTAACTAAGGAACGCGCGTTCATTAAAATTATAAAGCGACACATATAGAGGGCGCGCATTTAAGGTACAGCTCCGTCTGTGTTTATAATTTTTTTTGACACTAATTTAAAGGCGCGCAATAATAAATGACCTAAATCCTTCAATTTTCTGAAGAGATGGCCCTTTTTTAATGTCACTCTCGTTTGCGTAACATAAATTAATGAGTGTCGTAATTTGCGCGTTGTAAAAGGCTATTTTTCTAGTAGTGCAGAGATCAAATAAATAATTATCTAACTTATTATCAACATTACTATTTAAAAAAAATAATAAATGGTGAGAAAATATAGCACATGCCATTTTTTATAACGCGTTTAAAAAGAAAACATAAATTATGAAAAAATAATAAGTGATACTAATAATTATTCTTTTATTAGTATACGAAGATTTCAATAAATAATTAATTAAATATGATTTTGTAGGATCTTTAATATAGAAATACAATTAATTATCGGCAATTATATCCGAAACTTATTAAAGACGAATTTAAATTTCTTCTAAAAACCAATGATCAAATAAATAATTGACTAACTTATTATTAACATCAATAATTTTGAAAAAATAAAAAATATGAGAAAACGAAACATGTCATTTTTATAAATCATTTAAAAAGAAAACATAAAGTAAGAAAAAATGACAAATAATACTAATAACTTTTCTTTTATTAGTACATATATTTCGATGAGGACTCAAACCCAATACTTGGCTATGGTGCATTCGTATGTGACTCAAGCCACTGGTAATTAATACGGACTCAATGATTTAATCATGTGTGACGAACACCCATAGAATGTCATTTAAGTGTGTTTTATTATTTATTTTCATTTTTTTTAACTTTTAAAAGAAAATTAATAAAAGTAAACTTATATATGCTCGTTTTCACGTTTTTTAATTTTTTATTTTTTAATTTTTTTTTCTTTTTGTCGTTTTTTTGATTTTTTTTTTAAAATATCCCTAGTACATGAATATTCTAGTGTTTTTGTTTTTATTTTTTTATTTTTATTTTTAATTTTTAAAGTAAATATTGGTTTGAGTTTTTAATGTTTAATAATTATAAAATTTTGAATAAGAGAAATATTAAGGGTCATAATATTTTCCGCTCATACTTTTTTTGGATTAGATTATTTTTGGATTATAAAATTTTGAATCATATGGTTTTGGATCAATAATATATTCAATTAAATAGTTTTTGTTAGAAAAAAATTTGTGGATCATTATATACTTTGAATCATTTAAATTTCTATTATATAATATATATTATTAAGGATTATAAAATAATTGAATCTAAATACGTTTTGATTATAATAAATTAAGGATCATACATAAGTTGAATTAAAAGCTTTTTTTGAATCATAAATATTTCGAATCATCAAATTTTGGGTTATATTATGTTCAACATATTTTCTTAAAAACTATTTCTTTTAATTAAAAATAAGTACTTCTAAAACTTATTTTTGAAAAATTCTTTTTATAAAATTGCATCACCCGGAATCCATAAGATTAATTATGGAAATAAATTCCCTTTCCTATGGACCAACACGACAGGTTGATAGTGGGAAACTCGAAGTGTTGGAGGCTTTTGGAATGCATATTTTAATGAACAACTCGTCGAGTTGGTGAAGGGAACTCGACGAGTTGGATGCTAATTGAGAAACCCTATTTTTTAGGGTGTTGCGGCCTATTGAAAGGCCTTAAGTTCTTTGGATTGCCTCCTTATTCGCCTCCTCTCTCCAGAAACCATAAATTCGAGCCTTATATTCCATTGTTGAGTGTGAGAGCTTGGGGAGAGACTTGAGAGTTAATTTTTGGTGCTTGTTTAAGGAGCTAAGGAATTAGGAGTTGCTTGGCTTGATGAAGAAGTCTTGGATCTAGAATCTCTGTCTCATTTGACAAGTTATTGAGGTATCAAGTTCTCACATTCCTTATTAGTTGCTTAGATCCCTTCTTGGGTTAGAGTTTATGCTTTTTAGCCATGGTTTGGCAGATGTTGGGGCTTAGGACGTCCCAAATGATTATTCTTTCAGATCTATGGTCTACATGACCTCTTTTGGCTTAAAGGTGTCAACTTTATAGATTTAACGGTTTCATGCATTCATTAAGTCTTTCATTTAGCCCTTTTTTGAGCTTTTAAGCTTCCGCTAGTCATACTTAAGTGTAAAGTTGGAAACTTTACGTGCCATCTAGCCTTATGGGGTCAGATATGCTTTTTGGGGTTTTGTCTTTGATGATTAAGTGCTTAATTATTAAGCCCTCACTCTTGTAAGTCTAGGGTTTGGGTTTGGACCCATTTAGGTGGTTCATAGGGGTAAAGTTGGAAACTTTACCCTTCTAGATCTCATATTGGTCGAGATCTGAGTTGTGGAGTTCTTGGAGTCGATAATGTTGACTTAATATATTAAGATGTGTGTTTTTAGCGAACTCGAGGAGTTTATGGATAATCTTGGTGAGTTGGCTCGGTTTATCCCCGAGTTTGTGGTTGTTAGAGGAACTCAGCAAGTTGAAGGATAAACTCACCAAGTTGGGTCAACTCAGGCTGTTGACTTTGACTTTTGATTTTAGCCTTTGACCAAGTTGTTCTAAGGGGGTATTTAAGGTAATGAGAATTGTAATTAAGAAAATTATTGGCTTAGGAGAAGATCGATATGGGGTTGGGACCAATTTGGAAAAAGTGGGCAATTAGTGGGACTTTGTGGATCTTTTGGATTTGGGCCTCAGTTTTGGTTCATAATGGGTTAGGGGTAAAATGAACATTTTACGGGACTATGGATTATAGCTTGGGACCTAATTTCTAATGTGGACTGTTGTTAGTACTAATAGCTTGGGAAGCCGGCAAGGCAGCAACTAAGGATTTCTTTTAGTGAACTTCTACATTCGAGGTGAGTCCCTTCATTGTTCTGTGGGTCGATGGAATCAATTCTGACCCATTTAATTTATGTGTTATAGGAAGACTCAGGGGTAACCCTTAGGAGTTTATATGAAAGACCTATTGGATAAGGTGTCTAAGTCTATAACTTATTTGGTATATACTTGACCCGACCCGACATGGTCCATTTGGGTTGCATCTCATCCAAACTATTTATGGATAATTTTATGAGAGTTATACACATATGTTTATTAATATATTAT